CTAATTTTATCGTATCAATTACCGATATTACAGTGCTACAAGTATGTATGTATGTATGTATGTAAGTGGTCTGTCTTCCCCAACAAGATGGAAATTCCAAGAAGGTGGAGACTTTACTTTGTTCTCTGCTGTATCCCTAGCACCTAGAATAATGCGCGACACTTAGCAGGCACTCAATACATACTGCTGAATGAATGGAGATCCTGGCTGATGGCTGGGACAAGTGTGGACATGTAAATGACCGTCTGATTGGCTGCTGGCCATTGATCAAGGATCAAGGAAATCTTTCTGCATAAATCTGGGGAAGAGGGTGAGGACAAGTTTTCATCTCATTTGGCTCAAAGTAAGAACCAATCCCTGCTTCCATTGCAAAAGGGGAAGTGGAGCACTTGTCTGGGTATGGTCAGACCCTGGGACTTGCTACATTGGAACACCAAGTAGAAACATGGCCAGAGAAAACAGATTGTCTGAAAGCACTGTTGGGAAAGTGCTATGAAACTGAGAGAGCCCTGTCTGAAATGTGGGAGCAGGGTTTGCACATAGGTTTATGTATAAGAACATGTGAGCTGCTATTGCAAACCCCCAAATATATAATGACTCCAACATAGTAGAAGCTAATCTCTCCCTCACTGTGTCTCAAACAGGTGTTCCTGGTTAGCAGGCAGCTCTCTTCCAGGCAGCGATTAAGGCTTGCAGGCTCCTCCATCAATGCTCCATCAGCTTGACGTGCAACTCCAAAGGTTCCCATTCTGAGCTGCCTTAAGCCAGGAGAAGAGGAAAGAAAGGGTGAAGAAGGTGTACTAGCTTGCTATGAGCTCAGCCTAAAATACATGCACCAATTCTGCTCCTGCTCCTCATTGTGGAGTGGGACACTGTACCCCACTACACATCAGGAAGCAGGAAGTGTAGTTTAGGCTGAGCAGTCACTTCCGCTCATAACACTATGCCCTAGAAGGGGAAGCGTCAGTTGGGGCGGATGCTTAATCTCCCTCCCAGAGGCTTGCAGTGAGTTTTTCTCAAGGATCACATTGCCCATTTACTACAGCATTAGTTTAAACTGGCTGTTCTATAGGGCAGGGCTGGTGGCCAGTAGGACTCATGACAAAGGCAGCCAGTGGAACACATGGATTATGCTTCTCAGTGGTTTGGCAGCTACGGTTGTAAAGATGGGAGGCTATGGGCGTGACAGGTGTGGAAATCCCCCACTTAATGGCTTCCCTGAACCTTCCATCTCCTTCCCTTGGTTTAGCAGCCCAAACGTATCCAGTTCTGTGTCTAACATTTCCAAGTACCTGGGACCATTTCCCTGGAGTGTCTCTGGCACCTGCAGTCTCTGAGTGTGTAGGCCCATGGAGGTCATTTTGCCCTCTGCTTCCTCTGCCCCTCAACCCAGCTCCCTACCTGCCAGTGTCCTGAGAAGGGAGCAGATAAGATGTGCTATTCCACATCAGACAAGTGGCTTTCCTCTCTCTAGTTCCCAAATGCAGAAGTGTAAAGGATCAAGATTAAGATGGGCATCTGAACATGAACAGCAGTTGAAGAGATGTCAAGTATGACTGTTGTGAACACATTTTCAATGACTCTATAGAGGTCTTGGAAATGGCTTTAAGTTTTAGAAAAAAAATTATTTTCCATTTACTGAGTATCATTTTTTGTTATACAGATAATCTGTGGATGACGGTTTAATGCTGCTCCATGCAGTGCTAATTTGTTAGAGCACCATTTGTCTCTGGAGCATTTCCCTAAAATAGATATGTGTGTGTGTATATAAAATGACCAGTTACATAAAACAGCATGTAACTTGTGTTTTTAAATATAAAACTTTCATTCTCTGAATGTTTTTGAAGCTAGGAGCAACATTACAAACTTTGAAAGAAACCCCAAACTACAACTTTAATCAATTCCTTAAACAAAATTAGAAATGATGGGTTCCAATTCTAACTTATGGGAAGCCTTGGTAGGCTCTATCTTGAGGTGAGTTCTTTGAAAATTTCAATGCATGTTGTTCTACAGTGTGTCTCAGCTAGGTAAACATGAGACAGGTAGAGAACCTTAACCAAAGATGATAGTGAACGAAGACACCCCTTACAGACCAGCCTGGTGGGGCCAAGGTCCCATTTAAAATTAAGATTAAAACTAAACATGCTTTGTTTCTTATCATCATGATTGCAGTTTCTTTCTTCATGTTTGCTGACATATAAGAAGCAGCAGCAAAAGGCCTTCTAAGTCATTCCATTGTTTAATTATATAGATTTTATTTTACTTCCTGGGAAAGCAAGTCTTTAGCTGGAAAGCTCATAATAACCAAAAATGTTAAAAACTGTGTTTGTTGTAGGAAATCGTAGTCATTTACTTTTTTTTTTTTTTGAGATGGAGTCTCGTTCTGTTGCCCAGGCTGGAGTGCAGTGGCACAATCTCAGCTC